ACTCAAACACTCAGTGGACTCATGTTTTTCAGATCTGTCTGTATTTTCCAACCCATGATATATGGAGTGGGTGGTGGATGATTATCATCCCTTTCCTCAGGGGTCATCGTCTGCCAGAATATCTAATATTTGATGATTTGAACCTAATTTATCTCCTCTAGCCATCCACCCCCCCCCCTACCCCGTCTCGGCTCCAGCAGGATATGGTTAAGTGATTAACTTGGTAAATGACATTTAATTTGTTTGCATTTGACTGTTAGTTAGGCCTCGGGCCTTATAAACTCGGATTAAAACAACATTAGTAGAAGACCTAATGAAGCTTGTATCATAATTATATTGACTAATTAATGCAAATATAGATTTTATTCCCAAGCTGTGTAGGTAGGATGGGTGGGCCTTATAATTGCTCAATATTTGGCTAAATGAGTCATTTATGTAAAATAAAACCCAAATTAATAAACCGTCCTTAACGGAGAAAACTTACGGTTTCAGATCAAAAAGAAAGATTACGAGTTGAATTCATTAATTTATTTGTTCCTGAAGATTCTCCTAAAGGGACATAAGCATAGTTTTCATGACCATAGATAAATAAATAAACATAGATAGTTTATGTACGCAAAATCACCAAGAATTGTACAGTCCGCAAACTCATACTTCTAGGGGTCAAAGTGTACTTCAGTGATAAGCGGGGTGGTTTGGTGTTTTAATGGATTTCATAATAGAGTGTAAAATAAGTCCGGTAATGGAACTATTTGAACAACAATATTTCACTGAGCAATATATCATATTGACAAGAACTGAAGAAGGACATGAGAAGGACTAAACTAACATAAATGTCTCTCTTATGAACTCATGCACACCACAAGTACTCAATGACATAAGAACAGCCAATGTTCACAACCGACCTAGTTAATCTATATAATAGGAATATCTTTAAAACATCTCTGTACATTTATATCTTTAAAGAGGAAAAATGTCGTCTTATGCGCAATCTATCTTTATCTATGTTCATGACATTCCATGAAAAGATGGCAATGTCCGATTTACAAAGGTACCCTTGATAGCTTTGTCTGATCAAGTATGAATTAGATATCAAAGTTTTTTTAAAAGTTTAATTTACATTTGCGATTTCTCTGCTTAAGGGACTTGCGCATTTCTTGTTTATAAGAAGCATTAATGGAGAAGCTCACAGACAGAAACACTTTCCGCGTCAGGAAAACTACTGTATCTTTCATATTTTTTAATCATTGATAAGGTTTTGAGTAGTGCTAAGGATCCATTTAATTTTGAAGCGAATCCGGATCCTGGATCCGCACTGGAAAAAAATGGACCCGGATCCAGGCTATTTCCATAAAATTTTCAGAATTTTTTTTACAAAGCAGAATTTTTAAAGTTGTCTAATTTTTTTCGCTTTTTTATGCTTTATCTTGATCATCATCTTGATGAGCCATTCAGAAATCAGGAAATTTTTATAATTTCTCTTTTTTCAATAGTTCACATTTTGGTTGAGAGTATTTTTTTTGCAGTTTTTGGTTGATATTTTGCCCTTTGGATCCGGATCCATGGAACCGCATATTTTTGCGGATCCAGATCCTAAGCACTGGTTTCAAGTGTATCGATGTAAATCAGTCATTGCCATCTTTGCATGGAGGGTCATTTGAATTTGCGCTTACAGTCCATTTAAGATTAAAGATAGGGCCGGGGAAACAGGATTAGTCGCCAATCGCCGCCAATTATAATTTCTTGATCCAGATATGATCCAGATATTGTAGCACCTTTGGTATTCTGAACGAGTTCTGTTTCAAATATCGAAGGTTGACCGTTCGTGGGCAAAATATAGAGATAAAAAATTGAGAGATTTAAGCGAGTCTTCAGTGCCTTTAGCAGGGATCGAATTTAATAAATTTGCGGGATGCTGATCTGCCTACCACCGGTTCAAACTTGAATCACCGATTTAAATCCTTCCTGAATTTTTTACTTTGAATCAGTGGTTCAAGTTTGAATCGGCAATAGGTAGTTGAGTGACGTAGTTCATTAAATTCGGTCCGAGATTATTGTTTACAGTGGATACAGGGTTACCCACAAAGGATGAGACTGTGTATAATGACAACCTAAAGCTTTTTAAACGCGTGGATAAGAAGGTTGAATTTAGTCTTCCATCCCGTGAATAGATATCATGGATAAGAAGGTTGAATTTAGTCTTCCATACCGTGAATAGATATCATGGCTAAGAAGGTTGAATATAGTCTTCCATACCGTGAATAAAGTTTTTTATGTATATTAAATAATCTGGGGGAGAAAAGAAACAATTATACAGATCCAGGGAACCGTCTCTAAAGTGTCATCTTGTGTGGGTAACCCTGTAAATGACGTATAAGTCAGACTTCTGGTTTCTTATAGAAACAATTAAAACTTAAAAACAGCAGATTTCACAATAAAACAGAATTAATAGAAGTGAAAAAATTAAATCTTGTCTGCATTTTTTGAGGAAACCCGTGGGTGAAAAAACGGATTTAAAAATATGTTCCACGTGCAACGCCAAGCATTTTAGCTAGTTCAATTATGTATTTTTCTCCTGTTGAAGTAAAGCTTAGTTAGTGAGCTTGCAATTTGGATAACCATTGCAAAAATGTTCAAGCAACATTTGTCTGTCAGTTAAATATTTTCTCTGAAGTACTATGGAGCTAAAAAAACAAAACATTTGTGTTTGTTTAAAACTAACAAGAAAACTTAAAAAGGCATTAACTATCCTTTTCTGTTTCTCCTAAACTCCCAACTTGGAAATGAGTTAAATACAGGTTGAAATTGTTAAATAAGAACTGGTAATTTTAGGTTTAGTTTGAGTGCCTATTAAAGCACATTAACCCCCCCAAAGCAAACACGGAATTAAATTTGTCTTAACGACCTGGAAATTACGGACAAGCCGGAGTATAATGGAGAAAAATGCAAATGGTAAATTGAAACATGGGTGTAGCCAAGGGCGGGGGTTGNTAAGTGGTCTCTAGTAGGATAGTTGGAGGGGTGAGTAGTCTCTAGTAGGATAGTTGTAGGGATGAGTGGTCTCTAGTAGAATAGTTGGAGGGATAAGTGGTCTCTAGTAGGATAGTTGGAGGGGTGAGAAGTCTCTAGTAGGATAGTTGTAGGGATGAGTGGTCTCTAGTAGAATAGTTGGAGGGATAAGTGGTCTCTAGTAGGATAGTTGGAGGGGTGAGTAGTCTCTAGTAGGATAGTTGTAGGGATGAGTGGTCTCTAGTAGAATAGTTGGAGGGATAAGTGGTCTCTAGTAGGATAGTTGGAGGGGTGAGTAGTCTCTAGTAGGATAGTTGTAGGGATGAGTGGTCTCTAGTAGAATAGTTGGAGGGATAAGTGGTCTCTAGTAGGATAGTTGGAGGGGTGAGTAGTCTCTAGTAGGATAGTTGTAGGGATGAGTGGTCTCTAGTAGAATAGTTGGAGGGATAAGTGGTCTCTAGTAGGATAGTTGGAGGGGTGAGTAGTCTCTAGTAGGATAGTTGTAGGGATGAGTGGTCTCTAGTAGAATAGTTGGAGGGATAAGTGGTCTCTAGTAGGATAGTTGGAGGGGTGAGTAGTCTCTAGTAGGATAGTTGTAGGGATGAGTGGTCTCTAGTAGAATAGTTGGAGGGGTGAGTAGTCTCTAGTAGGATAGTTGGAGGGGTGAGAAGTCTCTAGTAGGATAGTTGTAGGGATGATTGGTCTCTAGTAGAATAGTTGGAGGGCTGAGTAGTCTCTAGTTGTATAGTTGGAGGGATGAGTAGTCTCTAGTTGTATAGATGGAGGGCTGAGTAATCTCTTGTTGTATAATTGGAGGGATGAGTAGGCTCTAGTTGTGTTGGAGGGCTGAGTAATCTCTAGTTGTATAGTTGGAGGGATGAGTGGTCTCTAGTAGAATAGTTGGAGGGGTGAGTAGTCTCTAGTTGGATAGTTGGAGGGATTAGTGGTCTCTAGTAGGATAGTTAGAGGGATGAATAGTTTCTAGTAGGATAGTTGGAGGGATGAGTGGTCTCTAATAGGACAGTTAGAGGGATAAATGGTCTCTAGTTGGATAGTAGGAGGGATGAGCGGTTTCTGGTAGGATAGTTAAGAGGGATGAGTGGTCTCTAGTAGTATAGTAGGAGGGATGCGTGGTCTCTAGTAGGATAGTAGGAGGGATGAGTGGTCTCTAGTAGGATAGTTGGAGGGATGAGTGGTCTCTAGTAGGATAGTTGGAAGGATGAGTTGTCTCTAGTAAGATAGTTGGATGAATAAGTGGTCTTTAGTAGGATAGTTGGAGGGATGAGTTTTCTGTAGTTTGATAGTTGGAAGGATGAGTGGTCTCTAGTAGGATAGTTGAAGGAATGAGTGGTCTCTAGTTGGATAGTTGGAGGGATAAATGGTCTCTAGTTGGATAGTAGAAGTGATGAGTTGTCTCTAGTAGGATAGTTGTATGGATGATTTGAAGAGTTGTATGGATGAATGGATGAATAGTCTCTAGTTAAATAATTGTATTGATAAGTGGAATAGTTGTCTCTAGGTAAATAGTTGTATGGATGAGTGGAAGAGTTGTCTCTAGTTGGATAGTTGTATGGATGAGTGGAAGAGTTGTCTCTAGTTGGATAGTTGTATGGATGAGTGGAAGAATTGTCTCTAGTTGGATATTTGTATGGATGAGTGGAAGAGTAGTCTCTAGTTAAATAGTTGTATAGATAAGTGGAAGAGTTGTCTCTAGGTAAATAGTTGTATGGATGAGTGGAAGAGTTGTCTCTAGTTGGATAGTTGTATGGATGAGTGGAAGAGATGTCTCTAGTTGGATAGTTGTATGGATGAGTAGAAGAGTTGTCTCTAGTTGGATAGTAGTATGGATAGTTGTCTCTAGTTGGATAGTTGTATGGATGCGTTATCTCTAGTACGATACAATTTACGAAACGAATGTAAATGTCAGTATCCATAAAATAACACATTTACATTGTACCTACAATCTACAAAATACTCAAAACATTGTTAAATAAGCTGTGACGATTATTTATTAAATAAAAATGTGTTCTCTTATTTTTCAAGTAAGTCGGTTTTCAAATAAGTCGGTTTTCAAATAAATCGGTTTTCAAAATGAATATATATATATAAAGCACTAGAACTTTAAAGGACAAAATAAAATCATATTTTCTAGATCTGAATTAGAGTATAATTATCTAGATTTAAACTATTGAAGGCCACCAGAGTCTAATTCTCTAGATCTGAACTGTCGGAGAAAATGTTGATTGAGGTCTTCGATTCCTTGAAAATTTGGTCCCAAGAACTAAAAAAAATTTTATGAAAGTATCCATAAATATCATAATATGAATGTACGACACACACAACAAACATTAATATCAATTCTTTAAAAAATCTTCACTCTAAAGTAATGGTACCAGTACAAACGTCGGACGTTACAAAGGTCGGACAGTGCAAAGGTCGGACTTACAAACGTCGGACTGTTACGAACGTTGGACTGGATTTTTTTTGTTAGTTTTAATTTTCAAAAAAAAAATTGTTAGAGGCAAACTTTTCGAAATTTCGAAATTTTGCAAAATCTAAATTATAAATACCTGTCACTATCAGGGTATCTATAACATTTAGGTTCATAGGTCTTCATAGGATTTTTCATAACATATCTAGAAAATTTATTATTTCAGGATTCAACAGTTCGTCGTAAGGAACTTGAAAAATGGAAAGTTTTGGCTGCGAAAATTTAATTTACATTTCAAAACCTATTTTACTTTATATCTACAATCTTATATTTACATTGAATACAATTAGCCTAAACTCAGAGAAATTAAACTAAATTAAAGCCCCCTCTCATTATTAAGGTGGAACAACACGTTTATATTTATAGAAATTATTAATATAATGCATGCGACTTCAATTCAAATCAAATCAGAAATGTGGGGTGTTGCTAAAATCAAATCAGAAATGTGGGGTGTTGCTAAAATCAAATCAGAAATTTGGGGTGTTGCTAAAATCAAATCAGAAATGTGGGGTGTTGCTAAAATCATATCAGAAATGTGGGGTGTTGCTAAAAGCATCCAAGTTTCTGAAGGGAGTTTCAAGGATTGCAGGTTCTTTCCCAAAGGGGTTTCCCAAAGATATTTTCCCAGGTGACAACTTCCCAACTCTTGGGAAGTCGCCCTTGGAAAAATACCTTTGGGAAAAATACCTAACATCGTTTCAACTCCTTAATGAACATTGGTTTTTCAACCTGGACCATTCCTTTTGCTATAACGTTTATAAAGAGGTTCCAGCACACAACCAAATTTTAGCCATGGAACAGTTGTAGGCGATTATATTAAGACGACTTTCGATTTCAATTTTGATCCATATCAAGCAGTTTAACAGATAAACATAGAAGTCAAGAGAAGCTGTCAATTAAAAATTGGCTCTTTTATCAGTTTTAAAGTGATTCGAAAAAAAAGCGTGTTGACAATCAAAACTTGAATAAAAGTCGTCTTCATAGTATTGATATAATCGCCTACCACTGTACCATGGAAAAGAACCTATTGGCTTTGAAAAAGCCCAAAATTAAATTTCTTTATAAATAAAAGAGTCACCTTTTTTCTTTATATTGAGGTGAGGTGTTGGATGAATTGTATCTAACTACTTCTTTTGAAACTGCAGTACAGGAAAACAAACATAAAAACAATATATCAAGCAGGATACATAATCACAAGTCAATCGGGATACCCAAACTTTAAAGACGTTTAAGTTTATTATTGTTATCATAGCCGTGTTAATATATATACAAATGTTTGAGTTACAATTTCTGGAGAACAGATAATTTGTTTCTAAAATAGTAAAGTTAATATTTTCTTTAATAAATATAATCTCTGGACTTGAAAGATTTTATAGGGAATTCTTGATAGTTTATTGTTAAGTTGGCTTTTGGTCAAAATAATTAAAGCCTAAAAAATACACAAGAGAAGAAAAAATTATTATGTTGGACGGGGGGGGGGGGTTATAATTGTGTCATTCTTCTCTAGGAATTAGTTAAATAAGTTTGTTTCCAAGTTTTCCTGGTCTAGGTTTAAAGTTTTCTCCACTTGTCTCCATAGAACTCTGCGCCTCAGTTTCAGTTGATTTCAGGGAGAAAAGACGATATTTAGAAGAGTCGTACGCATGAGGATCCAATCGATTCAACTGAACAGTGAGAAAAGACGATATTTAATATAAGCGTAAACAAGAGGATTCAGGATCCAACGGGTCAAAATTAAAAACGGGAAGACTGTTTTGAATAGAATCGTAAACATGAGGAATGAGGATCCAACCTATTTGACAAAATAATGAGAAAAGACGATATTTAATAGATTTAAGGAAATGTGAATCCAACAGACTCAAATAAACATGGGAAAAGACGATATTTAATAAAATTAGGGAAATTAGAATCCAACAGACTCAAATAAACATGAGAAAAGACGATATTTAATAGAATTAGGGAAATGAGAATACAACAGACTCAAATAAACATGAGAAAGATCGATATTTAATAGAATTAGGGAAATGAGAATCAAACAGACTCAAATAAACATGAGAAAGATCGATATTTAATAGAATTAGGGAAATTAGAATTCAACAGACTCAAATAAACATGAGAAAAGACGATATTTAATAGAATTAGGGAAATGAGAATACAACAGACTCAAATAAACAAGAGAAAAGACGATATTTAATAGAATTAGGGAAATTTGAATCCAACAGACTCAAATAAACATGAGAAGACGACGATATTTAATAGAATTAGGGAAATTAGAATTCAACAGACTCAAATAAACATGAGAAAAGACGATACTTAATAGAATTAGGGAAATGTGAATCCAACAGACTCAAATAAATATGAGAAAAGACGATATTTAATAGCATTAGGGAAATGTGAATCCAACAGACTCAAATAAACATGAGAAAAGACGATATTTATTAGAACTGTAGACATGAGAATAAATACAGACTCAAATTAACAATGAGAAAAAATTGTATCTGATAGAAATGTAGGCATGAGAATCCAACCGACTCAGAAACTCAGAGATGAACTCTTATGGTGGTAGGCGATATTATCAATATAATGAAGACCGACTTTCGATTTCATGGAAACAAAGAGAAGCTGTCATTCAAAAAAGTTTTATTTAATTGCTTGTAAACTCTTCATTCGAAAAAGCTAGTAAACATTTAAAAACTAAATAAAAGTCGTCTTCACAATATTGATATAATCGACTACCACCGTAGTATAAGAACATGTAGACGATTAGAGTAAAATCTTATATTAACGAATACTTCAAGCAAAAAAAATTAAAAGTATATATTAGATTTTTGAATCTATTTTTCTTAGTTTTTAAACAAATAAATCCCAACCCTACTATCTATCATTAGAATTACATCATTTTTTTCTCAATATATTTCGCCAAAAAATTTGGCATCATCAGGAGTTCGTCTCTTAATATTACAGATATTATAAGCAAAAAAAATTTAAAATGTGATCTTACCTTTTCATTTGCTCCTTCTTTCCTTCTGGATTTTTTGGTTTCCTTGGAGTTAGGGTTTACCAGATCGTTGTTCAGATTCTTCTTAAACTGTCGGAGTGCCATCAATCGATCCGGACAAGAGGGACCCTGGTCCAGGTCCACTACTATTTTTGGGACTCCAGGTTTCCTCTTCGGGTCCAAAACTAGCTCAGGAACTCTAGTTTTCCTCCCCAGGTCCATAAACAGTTTAGGGACACCAGTTTTCCTCCCGGGCGGGCAGATATCATTGATGGAATCTAAAAGAATATCAAAGCGATTGTCCAACTAATTCCAAGGAGGGTTGGGGGAGGGGAGGCATGCGGCCATGAGCCCAGCAATATCCTGTTCGAACCCAGGTAGTTAGCACGACCCTGCCCGAACTCCGCAGAATTCTTTTAGAGCCCAACAAGACTGCTTAAAAATTTTTTACAGATAATTGACTTATAAAGAAAAGAAAATCATAAAATAAAAAGGTGCTGGAATAGGGTACATACTCCTCACACCCCTCATCAACAAAAAAAAGTTTGATTATGAACACATTGGGTGAGACCTATCCCAAGTGAAAGCTGGATATCTGTTGGACTTATTTTGACCTTTTTAAAAATCTGATCATAACCTTCTTGGTAGTTATAGACCATTTTTTGGGACACCCGAAATACATAAATAAAACATCTCTACGCGATATCTTACTTTTTAAACGAGATACAACATTTTCAATCACAGTTTTAGATCACAGAGAACTTTTTTAACAGTAATGAAACAAAGGAGATTGACCTTAACTCGCTCTGCTAGCGCAGAACAGACAAAAACCACGGAGTTCTTCATTTAATCCATCAACCATGGAGTTTCACATTTAAACCATAGTTTTCTTTCAAACCATGGAGTTCATCATCTAAACCATTGATTTATTATTCAATCCTTAAGAGTTAATCACCTGAATCATGGATTTCTGAATCATGGATTTATCATCAAACCCTAGAAATTTATTATCTAAAACTTGGAATTTATTACCCGAACTTAGGAATTTCTTATTTAAACATTGGAGTATATTTTCAAGAGCAAGAAAATATTTTTGAAAACATGTTCTGTCTAGAAACGGAAAAAAAATATTCAATCAAAGGTCAATTGATGAGGTAATTAAAAAAACGAACTCTCACCGTTACTAGAAGTGTCTGAAAGTACCCGGGCCCTGATCTTCCTTGAAGGAATTGTTACAAGGGAGGAGGATGTATCTTCTACTTCCATCACATCATCCTCACTTACAGGTTCAGGAGGATCAGCAATCTCTACCAGCTCAGAACTACTGTCGGATACACACTCCGGAGATTCTTCCAGGACTATAGTGGGTTTGGAAATCTCTTGTGATTTCTCCTCGATCAGGAGTTTTGGTTCAGGTACTTTGGAAGGTTTTGGCATGGTCGGAAGTTCGGGTTTCTTTCTAAACAAAATTTAAAAAATAGAAGCGTTTTGACAAACCACTACAAGATAAACTAAAAACTAGTATTCGATGAACTTCGTAATGAACAAGCTCACGAAAGAAAATAAAAACGGGGGTTCTTATTGATAAAAAATGTGGCGCCTTGGGCTACAAACGGGGTTGCAGCGCTTCGGCTAAGGAATAAAGGGTGAAAAAGTAAAATTAAGAAATTTACAAAATATTTCTCCATGATTTGGCCATTCGTTGAAATGATTTGTAAATTATTTCTTTCGTAATGTATTTTCACAAACCTGTTTTTACTGTCTAGAAATTGATTGAATTCCTCTTTATCTCTTGATGAATTCTTCTTGTTGAGAAAACTCATGAACTTGACTTTCTCCGATTTCAAGGATTTTTCTATTCTAGATTTCTCCGGGCTTTTCCCTAGCTTATCAAACAAGATGTCCTGACTTGGTTTCGCTTTCCCGTAAATCTTGCGGGAACATATCCCGGCAGGATTCTCATGTCTTGGGTCCGTACTGGTGGGAACCTTCTCCAAAGGAATCCTATCACTTTTCTCTGGAGAAGATTGACTTGTTCCTGATCTTCTCCTCCTGGGGATCTTGTATTCTCCCAGCCTCGGCTCATCACTCCCCAAGAGTACGGAGGAAACCTCAGCTGGTCTCATGGTTTGGAGTTTGCTCATCCTCTCCTCCGGTCTTTCACGGTCTTTAGTTCTTGTACAACGAACAGAAATGCCTGAAAAATAAATTTTCATATAAGAGAAAAAAAACGGAACGAATTAGATCTATACAAGGTTATAATGCAAGGAAAGTTATTTCAGAGGTGTACGCATCTTTTGTACTGCAGTATACTGTCTTTGGGCAGTATGTAAACACAAGACGGATGTTGAAGCCTGACATGGGATCCATCTTTCACATAAAAAAAATAAATAAAATATTCTGGTCATAGGAAACTATCATGTGAATTATCAAAATTATTAAAATTCAATGCTTTTAACCTCCTTGGAAACTAAACAAACACAAATGCGCCTATTCCTGTTTACAAATTCCGCCCAGAGAGAACTGGTTTCAATATGTACGCAGAGTATACACAACTGCAATTGACTTTCCTTGCATTACATCCTTGGATCTATGTATATTATATATACGGGCCTTAGAGGGCGCTTCGCGCCCATCTTCTAAATTAATTATGAACATGTTCTCTTTGTGTACATCGTAAAACAAAACAAAAATAATTCGCGGATTTTCACAAAATATGTCGTGGATTTTCAAAATTTTCAAAAATTTAATGAAGATCGAATTTTGATGGAGACAAATATTTGAAATTTTGACCATTCATAAACCTTCCCTGGGGTCCCTAGATGTCCCACAAAAAAAATGGGCCCGATCGGTTCAGCCGTTTTGATGTTTATTAGATACAAACAAACAAACAGACAAGCCAAATTTATATATAGATACAGACTACAGAGCGTCTCATATAATATTAGATTATCTCCAAGCTTTTACGCCAAAATATTTACATAATACTCGAAAAACCTGATATTTGCTGCAAGAAAATTTTTATATTAGCCTTTTACATTTTTAAAAAAAGGATATATTCTATTCTGATTAGTCCAGATTTAAGCAATTACCGATATATTATGTTGTGGGACCCCTGTACTTGACTAGTCTGTTTGTTTGTTTGTCCGTTTGTATCCAATAAACGTCCAAACGGCTCAACCGATCGAGCCCAAATTTTGTCTAGGACCTCACATGACCCCAGGATAGGTTTATGTATTGTATACTCAGCTCAGACATACAAAATATTGTTTCCAACATTTTTGATTTTTGTAAAATTTTGAAAATCCACGAAAAAAAAAGTAAATCCGCAAAAAAATTATTTTTGTTTTTTTTTCAAAGAGAAGATGTTGAAAGATTGAGCAACTATTAAAATTGAAACAGCGCCTAGTTGTTTAAATTCTTGATCACCCACATAATCATCTAGAATTGTACTACAAAGTTATAAAAAATCGTCTTTTCAGACAAGACAAATTTAAATAAACTAGCCTTAGAGGGCGCTTCGCGCCCATCTTTTAAATTAATTGTGATCATGTTCTCTTTGTGTACATCGTAAAACAAAACAAAAATAATTCGCGGATTTTCACAAAAAATTTCGTGGATTTTCAAAATTTAAACAAATTTAATGAAGATCGAATTTTGATGGAGACAAATATTTAAAATTTTGATCATTCATAAACCTTCCCTGGGGTCCCTAGATGTCCCACAAAAAATTTGGGCCCGATCGGTTCAGCCGTTTTAACGTTTATTGGATACAAACAGACAGACAGACAGACAGACAGACAGACAAACAGACAGACAAGTCAAATTTATAAATAGATTAACCTTTACAAATATGTTTTACCCCCCCCCCCCCTCCCTCCCCCATTCAGAAACCGATTTGAGAAAAACAGGGTTAATGAAAAATTAATAAAAGATCTGCAAAGGAACCCGACATGGAACCCCCAGACCGCCCTCAGGGTGCAGCGCATCACCATGTGTCCTGGAATCCATACCTGGAAAATCCAAAGCCTCTTCCAAATCCGTCCCGTAGTTTAGCTCCGCCCTAAAACCCTTCCGACGTTTGCTCCGGCGGGAGGGGTCTCCGTTGTTCAGTTTTATAATCGGAAACTGCGTCACCCCCTTCTGAGATCTTGCAAGATTCTTAAATAATAAATAATTAATAAAAAAATGATCATCCTCATTTTTTCTTGGGGATTTAATATTTTCAGACTGCGGCTAAAAGTCCTCGGCGATTTCTAAAATTGAAGAAAACCAGAATTTTGTTTCCACAGAACTCTACCTGAATATGGGTTGCAAGTTCAAATCTTTTCTTAAGAATTTCCTCCATGGGAAACCAGTTCGTCAGGTCCGGAAGCTTAGACCAGTAAAACTGGGCAACAGAACCTTAAAATATATAATGCGATCACGTGATCAAGTAATTAAAATATCTATGATCAAATTAAAGAAATTAGATGAATACTAAAAAATACTAAAATTAAGATGGACTGAGGAAAAAATCGGATAGAGAAGAAAGCATGTCAGAGAAGAAATTTGAACAGAGGAAAACTTAGATGAATATGAAAGTAGGAAAGAAGAGAATGTCGGAAAGAGGAGAAAGTAGGACGGGGAGAATTTAATTTGGATAAGAAAAAAGGACCAAAAAGAAAGACAAAGAAGGACGGAGTAGCAAGAAGGACGGAAGAGAAAGTAAAATGGAGGAATGCGAATGATGGAAGAGGGGAAAGACACAAGGATGATAATAAATTTGAAAACAGAAGAATGTAGGACGCCGCGCAGGAGTAAGTATGGCAAAAAGCAAATAAACTGATTTAGGAAGCATAATGTAACTGCCGTCTACTATCGCGCCGGTCAGAAGTCTCCAATGTCTATTTTGACCTCGGAAATGAACTCCTTGTCCCAATTTTGATTTAGTTTGATGTATCTCATGCTTCTTTTATTTTGACTTTGGCCAAACTTAGCAAATAAGTATTAAAAGATATTTTCTTTCATTGCGCGGACATTTGAGGCTTTGGAGGTGAATTTTTTAAGCGCATATTTTTCTCAAGATTATCAGGATAAATGTTCAAGTGCAGTTAATGAACTTAAGATTGTTTAAATTTACCGGAGAGTAATACGTTTCGTGCCCTTAGGACGGAAAAAGACCCTAATTTCAAATATACTTACAAAAAATCTTCTCCACGTAGTGTAGAAGGAAGACCCCGCAGTCAGTAAAATTATCCTGTTCCGGTTTATTGGGCTTCATCAGTTTCATCTCACGAGCAGAGAAGGTTTCCGTCCCACCACGTTTTGCCTAATAATTTTAACTTTCTTATTTTCTTAGTTTTCTTAGTTTTCTTTAGTTTATTTTAGTTTTCATAGTCTTCAAATTATCGAAGGTATCATAACTATCATAACTTATATATTTTTATTTATAGTTTTCATAGTTCCAAATTCAGCGTGAGATGCTTAGCGTTCAGGGTTCAAATTCAGGGTACTGAAGTAAGTCATTGGACCGAAGTTAAAATGACAACTTTGGGATCCCGAGGACACCGGGTGTAGCATAAAGTACTTCAAGATTTTTAAGATCATCTACCTACTCCATTTTATTCTGGAGACCACTGTATCAAGAACAAACATAATCTTACCTTCCACTCGCAGGATAGATACTGTCTTATAATAGATACAGCTTTCTCCTTGTATCCTCCCATGCTGTCCAGCAGGATTAGGAAAGGTTCACCTCTGGTCAACCTCTCCTCGGGATCAGCAGGCTTCTACAATACAATAGATTTTAGGGAATCATTGCCAGTCCTATTTCCAATTTTTTAACATTACATTCAAAATTCTTGATTTATAATCCAGAATAACAGTATAAGTTCTCATAGTTTGGTAAAACTGCGATTAGGATTTATTCCTATAATAAATATAGTATTAAAAACCGAACAAGTTAATTTAAAAACTATGCTCATCACCCCCCCCCAATCACGGTGCTAGAACAACGCTCCTCAGGGAACTGACAGAGTTCAATCACGGGCTGATCACTTCCTAGAAAATAACAAAGATTTAGGTAATTTAAAGTGGCCCAGGATTTGAAGCGGCATGTCCGATTTACAACGGAACCCTTGAAGTATTTATCTGAGAATGAATGAATGATATATTTTTTTAATCTTCATGACAGAAACAATCTCAAGAACTGACGAGAGTCAACCCAGACCGAAATATATTTTCAATAAAATGTGGAACTAACATCTACTTTACTCTACAGAGGTTTGGTTCATCAGCATCACCGAATTTTAAATATACATGCATTTCACTTTGAAAGTTGGTCCTTTTCCTTCGTGTAATTAAGACTTATGGTTCAGAAACAATAAAATCAGAATCAACACTTAACTAGAAAGTCAACGATATCTACCACATTATTGAACAAAAAAAGGGTTTCAGGATACCATTGATAACAGAGCATGGCCATTAGCCATTTTGGGATCCAAAAATCGTTCTCTAGGAATATACCGCCATTTTAAATAAAGGGTCTCATGGAGTTATAATGACAGTTCCTTTAAATACTAGATGCCCTTAATACCAGTGAATTGTCTACCTTTGAATCTAGTGTTTACGGAGGGTAATACAGGTTTCTCCTCCGTGTTATCATCATCCGCATCAACAATAATGACTATATCTGAGTCGTCGGCGGAGGAGGAGATGGGGGCCACGGAGTTGGACATTCTTAAACTTTTCCGCACAAACTCAATCTGTAAAGTTTTTAAAATTCAATCTATATATTTAAGCTTGTCTGTCTGTCTGTTTGTCTGTTTGTTTGTTTGTATCCAATAAACGTCAAAACGGCTGAACCGATCAGGCCAAAATTTTGTGTTGGACCTCAAGTGGTCCCAGGGAAGATTTCTGGCCAATGTAATCTTAAAATATTTTTATCTTAAATTATTTAATTTTGTAAAATTTTAAAAACTAGGCTTTTAGGGCGCTTCGCGCCCATCTTTTATTTAAATTCGTAAATCTTCCCTGTGGTCACGTGATGTCCAACAAAAAAATTGGGCCCGATCGGTTCAGCCGTTTTGACGTTTATTGGATACAAACAAACACCAAGACAGACAAACAGACTGACATCCAAATTTATATAGAGATGAGCGAAAAAATAATATGCAATCTGCAAATAAAATATAAAAAAAAATTTATACTGAACAAAGAGAAGATGCTCAAAGATAAAGCCACAATAAATAGTTTAAAAACATTTAAATACTTAATCAATATAATTAATTAAATAATTGATTCTTATTAGTTTATTAAAATTCATGTTAAATAGTAAACCCGGTACCTGAGAAGCTGTATTGTTTACAAGTTTTCGCTTCCGCTTCAGTCGACAAGATTTAAAGAGCGAATAATTAGCTGACTCCGATCCTAGCTTGTCGTCAACCTCCTCCTCCTTCGGAACATACTCAGCCACCCTGTTCTCCTTGTTCACAATCCTCGACTTATTCGTCGTCCTGGTTCCAAGGTTTAGTTTCTTCTCCGTCCTAGCTTTTAGGTTTTCCTCCTTCTCCCTCCTGGTTTCAGGAATTTCCTCTTCACTCTCAGTCTTTAAGAACTCTTCTTTATCCGAACCTGCCTCTGAGTAGCTATCCTCCGGTCCTATAAATGTAATATCCGAGATTAAACGGTAAATTATCTAGAAGTAAAGGAACGTAAACCAATATTAGTAAAATCACGAGATTAAAAGTAAAAATAAACTTGAAAACGATATTACCTTTCAGTTCGTCAGGAATAGCACAATTTTCTTTGTGTCGAGAATTGTTCTTTGTGAGGTTTATCAGTTCCTGTTGATCCTCGTCACTAGAGTCAGGTTCTAATCTGTAGAATATTATCATTGATCAGGAATAGCAAGTTTAATAATTAAAATCTTCTTAATTCAAGAAATATCAGTTCCCTCTCTCAGGAAGAGGAAATTGGTTTTAAAGCTTTTTTGGGGAAAATTAAAATGGGTATTTATTTTTTTCAACTGTTAATCTTTTTAAGACACTTGCCGCTTACTTCAAATTTCTATCTGAAAATCATTACCTTATGTAGAAGCGAAATAATTTTCTTCCAGATGAAACGTTTAAAAATTGACAACCTTTTATTTTGAAAACTGAAACTTTTAATGACTAATTTCCTGTATATTGAAGATATATCCAGTTCGTGTGGAGGAGGGGTGTGTGCGACACTTGAACTCTTAACAATTAACAATTCACATGGAGCCTATTTCAGACCTAAGTTTCCACCTTTCAGGAAATCAAAAGATATTTAAATCAAAGCGAATTGATGTCAAATATTATTCTCTGTGTACATCTTGAATTTGCACTTAAAGTGAGGCTTAATCCGGGATTTTGATTTTTTACATTTTGACTCAGGCGGACCCCCTCTTTAGCATAGTATTAATTTAATGTCTGAGCACAGATTTCATGTCTTGAACGGGTTAAGCCTCACTGTGCACTGTTAAAAACATGAAAAAGGAAATTTCCACAGTTTTTCAAAAATGATTGCGTTATTTCTGTTTTTAACCAATCAAATGAAAAAGGGTTAATAAATGATATTTATTGATAAATAAACAAAATAATTTATAAAATTCAAATTTTAAGTGATTTAATTACCGCAAAATTTGAGCCTCGGCGAGTGCACAGAACTCTAGAGACAACTTGATCTATATATTTGAATCCCGGAGACTTTGAAGGGTTTCCCTAAAAATTATCTTATTCAATTTTGATGCAATTTATCACACCTAATATTTCCCCTTGTAGGGTGATTAAGTGACTTTATCGCCCTACAACAGGGCGAAAAAGCAACTTTTTTACCCTGCTATTAAAATTTCAAATTTCATACCAAATTTGTCTCATTGTAGGGTAATAAAGTTAATCCCCCTACAACAGGGTGATTAAGTAACTTTATCAACCTGCTTTTAAATAATTTGAATAAAACTGAATAAAACAATATATGTTATTGAAATGGATATCATGCTTGCGAAAAAGTTTTTGCTGTGATTTTTAATTTTTCTAGTTTGTAGACAACCTAGAAAAATAAGAATCCCGACAAGAACTTATTCGCACTTAAGAATACACATTACAATGACATAAATACATATTATTTTTTAGAAAGTCTTCACTTTTTGACAGATTTCATCGAATAAGTCTTAAGATAAGAGTGTGGCAGATTAAAAGGATTAAGATTCTGTTTTGGGATAAAATGGGTTTATGCTAGACCATATTAATTCTAAATAAAAGCCTGGAGTCTGGATCCATACCTGGTTAACAATAAGGCGATGATTTCTTCTATCCCTGGACCTATCTCGTTTTAATGTCTCTGGAGAACTTCGTATCTCCGGAGAACTGAACCTGGACGGAGTTATCTCTGGTTTATGAACCCTGCTCAGTATGGGGGAGGGAGTATATTCTGCAACCATTCATTCCAATATTGCACGGAACAAAATGGTGGCTTAGATATTCTTACTTACTTTTCTAATATATATCTCAGCAGTATTTAAAATTTTTAAAATTTTTATTTAATAAAATTTGAATTATTAAACTTTTAAAGAGCCAAACTATCTTCATAGGTCGTAAACCGTTGGTATAACGTTCACTTCATTATATCAAAAATAATGTTAAAAATTTTGGTTTTTATATATTGGTTTCAAACCTAAATGTAAAAGGCAATTATAACGATCAGCGGTTTCGAAAAGGGGGCTAAGTAGAGACAATATTAATTTTTCAGTTTAAAACAACAAATAAACTTAAATTTGATGTTTTTCGCGATTCACAGAGATTCTGGAATCTTCGTCCTTCTGTAAATTAAAAAACTTGCTTCATTTATATATCGCTTTGAAATAATGGAAAAAAGTGTTTTCTATATTATATTGGAAAAATTCCTGATTCCGATTCTGTAATCCAATCACTATCAGAGTTTTCTGTTCGACACTTCGTTTCTACAAATATTTAAAAAGTTAAATTTGGACAGGAATAAAATAAGCTAATTAGATTGCACTTCTTGTAAATAAGAAATTGTTCTAGTCATAATTAACTTAGAAGATTAACTAAGAGATTTAAGTTTATAATTGCACTTAAATATTAAAAATTAGGGGCCCGTAGCACAAAAATAAAGAAAGTTAAGACAATTTGAAGTTTGTCATTTGGCTTGGTTAAAATTGTTAAGGACTTAATGTAGAAAGTAAAAAAAAAACTTAAATTAACAGTTACCAAAATAAGGGATTACAAATATTGATAAAACTAAATTTCTCAGGTCCTTGATATTTTCATCGAAATGTCCTCCATGGAATTTATCATTAGTTTAGTTTTGATCTAAAAGCCTAAATAACCCTTAATTTTTGTTCTTATGAAAAACCAATGAAACCCAGTTAAGAAAAATTGGAAAACTTAAAACTGACATTAAATTTTTTGACCAAAATAACAAAAAGCGAACCAAGAGAAAACCTACAAACCGTTTATATTTTAAAATAGAGTTATTCCCAGGGAATAGGAATAAAGGGAAGGGCAATGGCGCTGGTCTGGCATGAGAAAGCCAGAGTTTGGTATTACACACGCACACTCTTTTGGTACAGACACATAACATGACTACAGTCAAGGAAATTGCATAACAATATCGTCAATTATAATTAAGCTTGAATGACAAGTAGTTATTATATTGGCTTATAGTATATCTGGCTTAAAATCAGGAACTAAAAACGTGAATAACCCCGAAAGTAAAGAATATATCTGGCTTAAGATAATACCCCCCAAAAGTAAAGAATATATCTGACTAAAGATCAGGAACTAGAATCGTGAATACCCCCCAAAAGTAAAGAATATATCTGGCTTAAGATCAGGAAATAGAAACGTGAATACCCCCCAAAAGTTAAGAATATATCTGGCTTAAGATCAGGAACTAGAAACGTGAATACCCCCCAAAAGTAAAGAATATATCTGGCTTAAGATCAGGAACTAGACACGTGAATACCCCCAAAACTAAAGAATATATCTGGCTGAAGACCAGGAACTAGAAACTTGAATACCCCCCAAAAGTAAAGAATATATCTGGCTTAAGATCAGGAACTAGAAACGTGAATACCCCCCAAAAGTAAAGAATATATCTGGCTTAAGATCAGGAACTAGAAACGTGAATACCCCCCAAAAGTAAAGAATATATCTGGCTTAAGACCAGGAACAATGCAATGGGGGTTTATAAGATATGAAAGTTAAAAATAAAGTTTCTAGGGGTATGGCATTGCCCACAGTTTCCCCCTGTACATGACTGGTTCAAATTTAGAGCCCAGATGGGATACAAACCTTTATTTAAAACCCGCTGAAAGCCTCTAACAAGCGGTGAGCCGGGCCGGGACATTTTTTGAAACCATTTGATAAAATATCCAGTTCACTTCTACAAATCTGAAACAAACCACACCTTACATAACTTTATTTTGAGAACTTAACAAAAACAATTGAAAAATATCTTTATAACAAAGTAAGGGTTTATATTTTGAAATCTCTAGTTTAAACTAGAATAAAAATCATATCTAGAGTATAACAAAAAAAAATCCCCTTGAATATTTATCAAACAATGGGGGGGAAGCCCCTTCATCCTTTCCATAAATAAAACAAAACTTGTTTTATTTACATTGCACCTTGTGACCTTGCACCTTACACCTTAAAGCACTTATCTATTTGTTGTATTCTTAGTTTAATAATTCCCCTTTTGTAAAGTAAGTAAAAGGTTCCACAACTTTGTATTTAATATACTTTTACATTGTACATTGTTTACATAAGCACAGTGATTCAAAACAAAATGGATTCATCCTAAAATTAAAATTTTCGAATAAAATGCAATAGAAGACATGGCTTATTTTTTCATAACATTATAGAAGAACTGGATTGAGGGAGTGGGGGAGGTAGTTTATGAAAGGGTAGAGGGGGGGGTAGAAGGGGTAAAGGGGGACTTAAAAACAACGATGATTAAATGAATTCCATTATGATACATAAGTAAGAAATATTTGAAGTTATTGTTTGTTGAAAAAAAGGCATCAAAATTTTAAATGCATCCGAAAAATTTAAATTATCAGTTAAATTTTTTTGACGTGTTTTATTTTGGATTCGGCCGGATTTAGATTTTTCTTTTGATTTTCTGAACAAACTGATTAATACCATGATTTATAAATTGATCGTTTGACTTATTTTTGATTCGATTGATTGATTTAATTGACCTGGAACTTGTTTACATCCTTGGCATTGATCACTGTACTAATCTTCTCTTTTCCAAGAACAGCTCTGAAACAGACACTTTACTTCACAATATGACAAAATATATTTTAAGGAACTAACGTCAATGTGATTTTATGGTGACCCAATCAATAATCCATCAACAGGTTCATTCACTTCCGTCCTATGTCAGTTATTCCCAAAGTTTTGATAGTTGACTGGTTCTCCATATAATTACATTACAACACGGCCTGTAACCGAATTTAATTAATTTGAATCCTCGATTCAAATCCTTCTTTAATCTTTAACTCTAAATCTGAGTTTCAAAGAACCGGTGAGGCGTTAAAAAGTGTCCGGGTGTGAAATAATGCCCGGGTAGAGGGGTACTTCTTGATGTTAGAAAGTGTCCAGGTGTGAAATAATGCCCGGGTAGAGGGGTACTTCTTGATGTTAAAAAGTGTCCGGGTGTGAAATAATGCCCGGGTAGAGGGGTACTTCTTGATGTTAGAAAGTGTCCGGGTGTGAAATAATGCCCGGGTAGAGGGGTACTTCTTGATGTTAAAAAGTGTCCGGGCGTGAAATAATGCCCGGGTAGAGGGGTACTTCTTGATGTTAGAAAGTGTCCGGGTGTGAAATAATGCCCGGGTAGAGGGGTACTTCTTGATGTTAGAAAGTGTCCGGGTGTGAAATAATGCCCGGGTAGAGGGGTACTTCTTGATGTTAAAAAGTGTCCGGGTGTGAAATAATTCCCGGGTAGAGGGGTACTTCTTGATGATTAGGACACTTCCCCCACAATATCAAATTATGGATGCATTGATAAACATCTCCTGAACTTAAACATATACTTCGATTAGTTTTTAAATGTAGCAATACTAAAAACTATGTAAGACGATATTTCGTCTCGAATGTCGTCTTCTTTTCATTAGGAATTTAAAACAGGAATATATTAACTTCTATCCCTTGCACATTCAAAAGTTATTTAAAAATTAGTCGTTTATTTAACAAATCTATTTATTATAATAAGATATTTTTTAATTAGATATTTTTAAGACCTAACCACAGTACCCGGACATTATTTCACGCCCGGACACATTACCACGTGACACCAGCAGTAGGTAGTTTAACTCCGTAGCTTAAATTCATTAAATTCGGTCCCTTTCCACTTTCTACAAGTCACGAACAGAGATAATCAATTTTCAGCAGAAAAAGATGTATCCAATATTGATACTTGAATTAAGGATTAACGGATAACGTTGTGATTAGTCAATTAAAAAAAGTTATATTAAAAATTCAAAAAAATGACCTGATAAGACACATGTATTCAGCAGGCTCGGGATGGGGTTCAGCAGCCGGAGGTAGTTTACTCAGCTAAAAACAATATAATGAGGATAAATAAACGGTTTTGGGATTTCTTCAAATACAAATTTTCGCAGATTTCAACAATTTAAAAGCTATTAAGTTGGATGTCTAAAGAAAACGGGTTAGATCTATCATGGTTCCTTGTTTCTCCTTAGTGAAACATCGAAGAAAAAAATAACTACTATTTCACGTTTCATTTTACATTGTTCCGAAACTTCCGATATTATTTGACAAATAAAAATTGAATGGTAAAATGTTTAGTGTTGAAGAAATAATGTTTTCACTTACAAATAATTTCTTCCCTTTCTGTTTCACGTTTTTTCTAGGTTTCGGGATAGGTTTGGTTCGTCCGTCATATCTTTTCATACAAAGATCAACATGACCTTTAGACCGGGACTTATCAAACATGAGGGTCAACTTGGACAGGAACAGGTCATTGTCTACCAGCATAATATCTGAAAACAATCAAATTTTATTACAATCTAATAATTGAAGGAAGGTGGACCGTGTATATATATAATTAATACCCAGGGCTGAAACATAGTCTAACTTCCTTATCACAGCATTGTTCAGAACAGTTAATCTTTTTAATATTTGGCAACGTTTAGTAGATGGGAAGGGGGGGGGGGTAGATAAAATATTCTGAAACTAAAGTTTAATATATTTAACTAAAATATTGATTAAATCTACAAGCAAGCATATCTTAGATTAAAAATTAAATAGACTTAAAAACAACGATGATTAAATGAATTCCATTAGTATTATATAGAAATGAAGAGGAATGGACATTAATTCAAAACTTGACTACTTTTATAAAATAGTCCAGTCCTCTTGTTTGATGTTGCAGGTTGTTAAATGTTTATACCATCTAACTAGTGTATATCAGGTTGTTAAATGTTTATAACATCTAACTAGTGTATATCAGGTGTAAAAAACAAAACAATTTGAAGTCACATAAACAATGATCAGACATGCTTTTCAAACAATACTAATACGTAAATTTTCACTCGACATAATTCTAAAAATAAGATTGAAACTATTTCAGATGGTTTTCTGAGCCTGGTGAATCCTCTTGAGTCTTATTACTTCCTACTTCTTCTAGCTGTTGCATACTTCCTTGGTGCTGTTCCCGGTCTCTGCTGATTACTTCCAGTTCCAATTGAGAACATATTTCCGGCAGCTGGAGCAGGGGCTCCAAAGGCAGGAGCAGGAGCTCCAAAACTAGGGGCAGGAGCTCCGAAACTAGGAACTGGAGCTCCAAAACTGGGAGCCGGGGCTCCAAATGTTGGCGCAGGAGCTCCAAAGCTCGGTGCTGGAGCACCAAAGCTTGGTGCTGGAGCTCCAAAAGTGTTTGGACTTGTGGCTCCAAAGGCTGGGTTAACAGGAGCAGCTGAACCAAAAGTGGGGGCAGGAGCTCCAAATGTAGAAGCAGTAGGTTGGGCAGCAGCTCCAAATGGGTTTGCATTAGGAGGAGATGCTGCTGAAGAAGATCCGAAAGAGAAAACGGACGACTGCGGTTGTGTTGCAGAAGCTCCGAAACTGAAAGCTCCCGATTGCTGCTGAGGCTGTTGAGGTTGACTGGTAGCGGATCCTCCAAACTGGAACGCTCCTCCGGGGGCAGGAGCTGCTGCTGCAGGAGCAACAGGGCTGGCAGCTGTACCTCCAAAGGCAAAGGTAGATGCAGGTTTGGGAGCCGTAGTTCCAAAAGAAAATACACCACCGGCTACTTCAGGTTTTGGCGGCGCTGTCGCTCCAAAACTGAACGGAGTGGCGGCAGCTACTGGTTTGGAAGCATCCGATTTACCAAAAGAAAAAGTAGGAGCAGCTGAAGCACTGGAGGTCGCACCGAATGCTGGAGCGGCATTACCGAAAAGGCTTGCTTGAGTTGTAGGAGGGGCACCAAAAGCTGAAGCAGTATTGGTTGCTGCACCACCGAATGTAGATGCAATTTGAGTAGAGGAGCCACTAAACGTAGAATTAAGGTTGGTAGAAGAGCCCCCGAATGCTGAGGCGGGTTGTGCTGTAGAACCGGCAAATGTTGATGAGGGCTGAGTAATTGACCCGCCAAAAGTTGAAGCGCCTGCATTTCCCCCGAAAACGGAACCTGGCGCTGTTGTGTTAGACCCAAATGAGAACGTTGAACTAGGCTTATCCGCAGGTTTGGTTCCAGAACCACCAAAGCTGAATCCAGGTTTTGCATCAGCAGTTTTACCAAACTGAAATGTAGCAGCGGGAGCAGCTGGAGTTGACGTGGTTGGAGCAGCATTGCCAAATTGAAAGGAAGTATTGGCTCCAGCTGCTGTCGTTGGAACAGCTCCAAATGTTGACGAAGGAGCAGCAAGTTTTTCTGAGGAAGGAGTTCCTCCAAATGAAAACACCGGAGCAGCAGAAGTTGCTGGAGCTGCTGGTGTAGATGTAGCAGCTGCTCCGAACTGGAACGCTGGGGCCGCAACAGGTGCAGGAGCAGCTGTTCCGGATGTATTCCCTGCTCCGAACTGGAACGTAGGAGCTGTAGAAGATGAAGGAGCAACAGGATTAGAAATTCCGAAAGAGAAGGAGGGAGCTGCTGCAGCTGCTGATGGTTTTTCAGCTGAAGGAGCAGCAGGAGCTCCGAATGTGAAAGCTACAGATGCTGGATTACCCTGTCCAAATGGGAATGCTGAAGGGGCTTCAGAAGTGGAACTTGATAAAACAGAAGATACATTTGTTGTTGTACTACCTGCTCCAGTCCCTGTTGTTGTACCTACTCCTCCTACTCCAAAACTGAAAATAGGTTTCTCCACAGCTCCAGTAGCTCCAGTAGCATGAGTACTTGTAATCGCAACTCCAGTAGTAGCTCCAAACTGGAAGGTTGGAGCAGCAGCAACTGTTGTTGTGTTCAAAGACGCTACTGAGCTGTAAGCTGGAGGAGCTGCACTCGGAGCAGAGAAGCTGCTGTACGCTGGAAGAGCTGAAGAAGCAGCTGGACTATCAGAAGCTCCAGATTTTCCAAAAGAAAATTCTTCCGGACTTGCCTTTTCAGCAGAAGACTTAGTTTCCGTAGCAGTAGAACCAAAGCTGAAAGCTGGAGGTGGTGGTTTACTAGATTCAGAACTAGGAACAGTTGAACCTGGAACACTAACCGGAGGTTCAGCCTTCGAATCTGCTGATGTAGCTCCGACCTTAAAACCCGGATTATTCTCTGCTGTCCCAGAAGGTTTATTTTTTAATATTCCAGAAGATGAGCCGGGTTCCTTTGCTCCTATACTAAATTCCGACGAGGGTTGGGGTGTGGAGAGAACAGGTTTAACAGAACCCGGGGCAGATTCGTCCCGTGGAGTTGAATCCTCTAGTATAACAGTGCTAGAACTGTCGCTTGACTGAAGTGGAGGTACTCCACCCTTCTCCGTGGATAGAGAGAAGGTTACAGTTGGAGTTTTCTCCTTCTCTCCTGAACTGGGTTTAGCTCCAAATGTATGCGTAAACCCAGGGGCATCGTTCTGAGCCTGTTTTTCTCCGCCATCCTTTGAACCAAACTCGAACGGAAATCCTCCAGGTTTAGAAACTGTCTCCGGTTCTATAACCTCTTTTTCCTTCTCCTCAGGACCTTTGATCTCATCCCCGAATACGGCAAGTAACTTATCCAGTCTTTTCCTCTGCAGTTTTCTATCCAGGTCTAGATCCTCCTTGGTCACCATCCTAGCCTTCTCTGTGCTGTTCTTCTTACCCGGAGTAAGGTCTGGTTTCTCTGGAGTTGGAATAACTTGCCGAGATCCTTGGACATTAGGAGTAGAGGAGATATTCTCCTGTTTTTCAGTCAGTGTTGTATTAGGACTACCCTCACTAGACTTTCTTCTGCTTTTTCGAGATGAAGAATTCTTTCTTTCCTTTTCCCTGTCCGGAGACTGGAACACGTTCTGCTTTTTAGGTTTCGGAGTTTCGGACTCCCTCTCCGAATCCTCAGAGTCCGATTCCGAGTCCCGGGCCCGCTTCAGCATACACCTGGAGGAGGAGAGACTAGCCAGGAGCTCGGCGTTGACAGCTCTACTCTTGGTCGAGGTTAACCCAGCAGACTGGGATGGGGGTCCTGAAGAAAAAAATTAAATTTTAAAAAATTTCACAAAAATTCAAATACTTATTTAATAAGGTGTTAAGTAAATATCCTGTTTTTAAAACATCATTGTTTAACACAGTGCTTGGAATCCGGATCCGTTGGATCCGCAAGATTTTGGCTTCCTGGATCCGGATCCGGAAAAATATGCAGATCCACGGATCCGGATCCAAGGGGTAAAAAATCAACCAAAAACTGCAAAAAAAAATTTTACTCCTAAAACCCAACCCTGAACTTTTGAAAAAAAAGAGAGATTATAAAATTTTCTCATTTCTAAATGGTTCATCAAGTTTTAGGATAAAAATAAGCTAAAAAAATAAAACAAAATATTTGAAAATTATTTTTTGTTAAAAAATCCGCATCAAAATTAAATGGATCCTAGCACTGGAACAAAACTTAATGAAATTCAGTAAACGATCTCTTTGATATATCTAGAAACCTAATAATATTAAAAATTCTACGTTCCTGGTTGATTCAAGTATTTTTAGCTTTAAAAATTAATGTTAAAGAAAAGCATTATATTAATTGTAATTAAGTTAATTAAATAAATAGCCCATTAGCACTTTTTTAATATATCGTTTAATCAGGAGGGTATGGAATATCCTGAAATTAGGAAGGTATGTCTCATGGAAAAAAAGGCCTGAGACCTAAATTAAAGAATTTAAACCGAAATACCGGTTCCAATTGAGCGTCGGCTCAAATCTTGAAACACTGAATACAATTTCAAGTTGAACCAATCATGTTTGAGCCGCGTCTCAAATTTGAGACGCGGCTCTTTAAATTCTTTAAAATCGGCCTTTGGAATTCTACCTGGAGCTTGATGTCCGAAGACGGATTGGTTCCTGGAGAGAAGGTTTCCCAATGATAAATCTGCCTCCCTGGATACAAGATGACTGGTTGTCTGTCCAACAACTCCGGAGGAGAACAACGGAGGCATCTCCATACTCAGGGAGGAACCCAGAGAGGAGGAGGAGTCACGTCGAGCTCTTTTACTACCTAGAGAAATGAAATGGTTATATTCTTATAAACTGTTCTTGTATTGATTCTTATGTCAACATATACGATTAATATTCAATTTTTATAATGATAGGAAAAGCTTGAAAATCAGAGGGAGAACCTCATTTTAAGAGATTAAAAGCTCGTTAAATAAATTTAAAAGTCTTGGTATAATTCGTGTTTAGGTCTAATCAAGTGATTAGTCTGTAACATGAAAATTTTCAGTTTCACACCAAATCAACTTTTGAATATTGTTTCCGAGTTATATTGTAAGATATTAAAAACAAACGTTTTAACTTAAGAAACTCGTTATTTTATCCTTTTTTTACTACTGCACTGGGTTGCATTGCAATTTTTTCCCCCTACTTTTGAAGTTACTTATTCTTAATTAAAAACTTTTTTCATATAATATTTGTTTGGATTAAATCTCAAGAACTGACGGGGGTAAATCCAATAAAATGTGGAACTAACATCTACTTCAATTATTCAATGACGTTTGGTCCAACATCACCGAATTTTAAATATTGCGGAGAAAAAGGTGTAAAAATTGTAAACGTTCATACCATCTTCTGAATGTTCGTCACTTGATCTTCGATTTCGTTTTCCAGAAAGTTCGGCTAGTACAGCAATAACAGATCTATATAGAAAACAATATTAAGTCTGTCGAAAGAATATGTTTATGTTTATAAGATCGCTTCACTTAATAATTAGAGAAAAAAATATCCAATATCCATGCTTTTGTAGTAGTTAAGTCACTAAGTGTAAAAAGACCTACTTAATAAAAATTAAGAATTCAGCTTTAACAAATTACATGCGACATTGGATCTAAGCCGCGAAATATATAGAAAAAACTATTGGTTATGTAATACACAATCTTGATTAAATCAGTTACAACTATACTGATCTTTTATTGGAATATTAATCATCATAAATAAAAAACAATGAAAGATTTAAAAACAAAAAACTTAAATAAATCGTTATGGGAGGTGGTCTTTTTGGGCTTAAAATTTGTCTGCCAATTTTCCACAAAAGAATTTTTTTTAGTGGTTTGCGGGTTGTGCATATCTTTCAAAATTATTAAAAGAAAATATCCTTAACCTTCACACCCCTAAATTCTTTACCTTGGGTCGGTTGAAGAACTTCTCTTTTCATCTTCTCCGTCCTTCCTTCTACCCCTGCCTTGAGATTCAGAGCTGATTCTACGTTTAAACGGACTGAATGGTTCCGCCGGAGCTATCCTTACGGTTACACGGCTTCGACCAACCTTAGAACTGTTTCTGAAAATCATAATTCATTTATAACGTTCAAATTAATGCATTTTAAATAATGTCATTCCAAAACAAAAAAGGCAGGCTAGGCTCCAGAAGTAACCATCTCCAATTTGGCTGAAATTTTGCACACAACTTAATGTTTTGGAAAATAACATATTTCATATTACAACATTTTTTTGGAGCCTTTCGGGGTCGACGCTAAAGGGTGGCAAAATTTTGAAAAAATTGTAAAGAGATTTCCCATTTGAATACATTTAGGACTCCGGTCTTAATTTTTTGAGGAATCTGAATGAAATTTTGCATATGGGCATATTTTGTGTTTATTTTAAGTAAAATAAAATAAAAATACGGAAAAAAATATTTTTTCCCTCTTTTTCCACATTTTTCCATGTTTTTTAAACCTTTTTCATCAAAAAGTCTAAGTCAAATACCAGCTAGGTGCTTTAAACACCTGCTTGTTAGTCAAGAATCTCATTATAACATCAGAACGAAGTTTAAGGTTTTTCAGATCCTTTTCCCCCATATTACCCCCTTATTTTATCATGTTTTCCCACTTTGATAATGTTTTCAGATTTTCTGGATTCATGGTTTTAAGTATCTGAATGATATTTTGCATATTGCCCATATTTTTTTGTTTGTTTTAAGTAAACCAAAATAAAAAGTGGAAAAAACATTTTGGTTTTAAGAATGTTGATTTTAAGTTGGTTAAAAATTAACTTTTTTTTCAAAAGCATTTTCAAAAGATATTTTCTCAATTTTTCCAAGCATGTTTAATTTCATATTTGTCGAAAAATTGTCCTTTTTGTTTCGGAATAACCCATCTATAATCTGGTTTTATTCAAAACTACACTTTTAGCGGTAAGAATTTTTTAGCGAGGCGGTTCAATCTATTCTTCTAACATAAGAGAATAAACTGAACTAGTGCAATTACTGTTCTTGTTGCCCCTAGTCTTCAATGTACACTGTTCAGTCTCACGACGTAAAATAGTAAAAAAAAATTATTAAAAATTCTGGAAAAACGAAACTACAGACATTTACATTTTAAAAATTTACTTTTTATATTCTAACCCGGCCTTTTGTTTATTCTCCTAGTGCCGACTAGAAAAAGAAATGTAAAAAGACACAAATTATTAATTTCAACTACTTTACAAGGAAGTTAAGGGAATTTCATTTTACAAAGGGATGTTTTGTAGGCAAAATTGGTCGAGGGAACCCGGCCCGTGGTTCAGAAAAATTTAAGTTTCCCGAAAAAATAGTTGAATTGTCTTTTGAGGTGAAAATGCGCGAATGTTTTCACAAAAACTTTGCAGAGCGTGTCGTTATTTTACTTAATTGTCCCAAGGTACGAAATGTAACTTAACGTCCCTCTGATGGGGGAATCATAGGTTGGTTATATTGGTAAAAATGCGCGATACTATATCATACACCAAAAGAGACAACAGAAAAGTTAATTTAGAAATTATAACTTAAAAAATTTATACCTTGAAGTTAGTCTCGGCTGTGTTCTACTCTTAAAGGAAACCTTTGGCATTGAGCCAGCGAAACTGAATCTTGGAGATAATCTTTCATTCCCCTGCTCCTCACGAACTAGACTAGAGAGACGGGAAGCGAACCCAGGACTTTGAACCTGAAATAAGAAAAATATATATATTATATATCTTTTCGACATGTTATTCTGATTTATGAGTTATCTTAATAAATGCCTAGATCCACATAACAATTAACAATAAACTGGAGCGGTAAAAATTGAGGGAAAAACAGTGAGTAAAATCTGGAGCAGCAAAAATTGAGAAAATAACAGTGAGTAAAATCTGGAGTAGCAAAAATTGAGAAAATAACAGTGAGTAAAATCTGGAGCACCAAAAATTGAGAAAATAACAGTGAGTAAAATCTCGAGCAGCAAAAATGGAGTAAATAACAGTGAGTAAACTAAAATAAAGTTCCGAGCAAAAATAATGTTAAAAACAGCAGCATGGCTTAAAATGCTCTTATTTAAAACAGTATACTAAGGGTTGTCATCTTTGTTCAGAAAATCAGAAATGAGCGGAATAAAAGTAGTTTAGATAAGAAACATAAGAAAAGAAATCTGAAAAAGAGGTCCCGTTATGAACCCCCCAGACCGCCGGCAGGCATGGGAAGCACCGTCCCACACCTACTCTAACTGGACCTTTAAACCCACAACAATTAGCCCATTGTCAGAAGATAGAATATATTCTAGTAAGTTTTCAAGATGTTTATAATGGATAAATAGTTGAAACGCCGGTGATGAGATAGTGACACCTACATTTCATCAAGAAATGTAAATGACCTCTATTTCAATTATTTTTCAACATAATTGATAATATTGATTCTGTATTATTTCATGGCTAGGCGAGGATAGGCCAATTTTGTGTAATAAGAGGTTTCAAGGGAATGTTCGCGAAAAAAAACTTACGTCGAAAAAAATTCGATGATAATCGCTATTCAACATCCCCGGTATAATCCTAGAGAACGATTTTTGATCCAAAAATCGCTCTCTAGGAAATTACCTAAGATCCATGTACAAAATTGATAGGAGGGGCGGGGGTCCAAAAATCGTTCTCTAAGAAATTACCGATGTAACCCCTATACATCCTAAATTTCATCATTCAAAGTTTCTCACCTCTGTGGCCAGCTCTGTGGGTAGTCTGGGTATATTAGAAGAATTTAAAGATTTATTGTGCGGAGAGAGAGGTTTAATCTCGTTATTGGTTCTGGGTCGTATTCCAAGCTTTTCTTTTAACTGAGGCGATAGCATTGACGTAAATAATGAAACCATGATAGTCAATATTCCTTCTTTACAAGTACAGAAATTTATCTGAAAAATTTAATAGTAAAATGTTGTCACCAATGATAGGATTTAATTACGTCACAAAGCCTGAAACATTAGACCATATATATTAAAACTGAATTATATGAAATAAACGTTTGAAATATTTGTGTGCAACTGCGTGAGTTGTTCAAGCTGAGGATTACCGCGGAGTTTTCACTGAATTTCACAACTGTCGTCTTCTATTTATCAATCAACAAGGCACAACCACTATCATGGGAATCTCGGGTGGCGTATTTTTCGACCTACACAAATCCGCTATACTCCACTTCTGACCTACGCCAGGGTACTGAACTTCTGACCTACTAACTTTCCGACCTACTGCCAGCTGTTTATTTTTGTATTATTTGAGGGTTAGGACAGGCTAGGGGGCCGGGCGCTGCGGCGCTGCACAAGACCATTTAGCAGCTCTAAAACCATGCGTGCCAGTAGGTCGGATGTGTAGTAGAGCGAATTTGTCGTAGGTCAGAAGTGAGGCATAGCGGATTTACAGAACAGAGGTAAAAAAATACAACACCCCCGTGATCTCCATGTCCATTATTATGAGAAAAAATGTAAAAATAACATACTCTTCGCGCACATAATATCTTACTCAATCAACATTAACATATAGTAACATAGATTTGTAGATAAATTTTGCCAAAAATCAATTTTTTAATGCAGTCTAGCGTACTTGCATCTTTTAAAAAAAAAATTTGGATTATAATTGGCACGGTATTTTTTATGTAGAACCTACCATAAAGCATTTTCATTCACTCCTCTTTCATTTCCTTAATCTTCCCCTTTTAATGAATATATACCTTGCTTGTCTGTTTGTATCCAATAAACGTCGAAACGGCTGAACCGATCGGGCCCAAATTTTTGTGGGACCGGCTATATAGGGGTCGGAAGGTTTATCTACGATGATCAATTTTTAATTTGCTTCTAACAAATTTCGAGTTCTGATAATTTTGAAAATCCACGTTTTTTTTATAAAAACCGTGATTTTTTCTTGTTTTACAATGTATTCAAAGAGAAAATGTTAACAAATGAAAAAGAAGATAGGCGCGAAGCTCCCTAAAAGCTTGTGATGAATATTCTCCAGAACAATGCAACTAAGTTACCAGGGCACAGGTGGCTGATCATCGTAGATTTTTCATATTGGTGGATTTGTTATTTTATAAGCTGTTTAAAAAGTTTCAATTTATAATGAACAACCTTTATAGGGTATAAATTAAGTCAGGTGAACGCTGAAAAGTGGTAAAGGAAGCCTTTTATTTGATACAGTTTATTAATCCAGAAATTGAAAATTGAAATAAAACCCAGCTAAAACATAATTTAAACATCATGATTGTAGAGAGGAGAAGAGAGGG